GGGGAGTCCTGCCACATTCCCGGAGGTCCCAGGGGACAGAACCGAGACCCGGGAGGCGCCCCAGCCGGGCTCAGCCACCCGGCCCGTCGCCCCGCGAGAGGACTGGGGGCAGGAGCTGGTCAGAACCAGCCTTCTGGGTCAGGAGGCTATGTGCTGCACGGGCCTGAAACCGGCTTCTGTCCGAAAGAGAAACGCTGACAAGGCCTTCCTGTCTCTGTTACTGTTCTTCCACAGGTAACACGCCCTCTTGTGGCTGCACCAGTACGCTAGCCTTTGTGCTGCTTAGAATGAGTAACTGTGCGGTCATTATAATCGGATCGTTACCGGGTAGCACTTTGGGAACACAGGGCTCAGTGGGATTGGGGAGATGAGGGAGTTCTTTCTCGGGCTTTCAAATCCAGCTGCCCTGCTGTCTCCGTTACATTCGGTATGTCCGTCTTTGTATCTGTGTATCTGTTCATATTACTGTCTGTCGCACTCTCTTGTCTGGCTGCTGTGTCTCTGATTTGATCCTTGTCTCAGGCGTGTTCTTATGTTTTGCAGTGGCTCCAGTAACAGTATGATCGCCATTGACAACAAGATTGAGCAGGCCATGGTAAGACTGGGCTTTACTGTGCTCTCCTGTCTCAGTGATCAACACACTGATCTTTACTATGTTCCGCTGTATCAGTGATCAACGCGCTGGGCTTTACTGTGTTCTGCTGTATCAGTGATCGGCACGCTGGGCTTTCCTCTGCTTTTCTGTATCAATGATCAACACACTGATCTTTACTGTGTTCTGCTGTATCAGTGATCAACACGCTGGGCCTTACTGTGTTCTGCTGTATCAATGATCAGCACGCTCGGCTTTACTGTGCTCTGCTATATCACTGATCAACACTCTGGGCTAAATTGTGCTCTGTTATATTCTCTGTTGTTCTGTTCTGTGCTGTGCTGTACTGTACTGCTCTGCTCTGTGCTGTACAGCTCTGTGCTGATCTGTTCTGTGCTGTACTGCTCAGTTCTGATCTGGGCTGTGTTTTACTACTCTGAGCTGATCTGTGCTGTGCTGTACTACTCTGTGCTGATCTGTGCTGTGCTGTACTACTCTGAGCTGATCTGTGCTGTGCTGTACTACTTTGTGCTGATCTGTGCTGTACTGCTCAGTTCTGATCTGTGCTGTACTGCTCAGTTCTGATCTGTGCTGTACTGCTCTGTTCTGTGCTGTACTACTCTGAGCTGACCTGTGCTGTGCTATACTACTCTGAGCTGATCTGTGCTGTGCTGTGCTGATCTGTGCCGTACTGCTCTGAGCTGATCTGTGCTGTGTGATTTGTGCTGATCTGTCCCGTACTGTTCTGAGCTGATCTGTGCTGTACCATACTGCTCTCAGCTGATCTGTGCTGTGCTGTACTACTCCGAGCTGATCTGTGCTGTGCCGTACTGCTCTCAGCTGATCTGTGCTGTGCTGTACTACTCTGAGCTGATCTATGCTGTGCTGTACTACTCTGAGCTGATCTGTCCCGTACTGCTCTGAGCTGATCTGTGCTGTGTGATTTGTGCTGATCTGTCCCGTACTGCTCTGAGCTGATCTGTGCTGTACCTTACTGCTCTCAGGTGATCTGTGCTGTGCCGTACTACTCTGAGCTAATCTGTGCTATGCTGTACTGCTCTCAGCTGATCTGTGCTGTGGTGTATTACTCAGAGCTGATCTATGCTGTGCTGTACTACTCTGAGCTGATCTGTGCTGTACTGCTCTGAGCTGATCTGTGCTGTGCCGTACTGCTCTGTGCTGATCTTTACTGTGCCGTCCTTCTCTGTGCTCCTCTGTGTCATGTCAGTAACTGACCTCTGTGATCCTTGCTGGCAGGACCTGGTGAAGACGCACCTGATGTTTGCAGTGCGAGAGGAGGTGGAGGTGCTGAGGGAGAAGATCAGGGAGCTGTCTGACAGGAATGCCCATCTGGAGCGAGAGAACGAGCTGCTCCGGACACTGACCCACTGCGACCAGGACAGTCAGGCAGTGCCTGCAGGAGAGGATGGGCACTAGGACTGGGGGCCAGAGCAACTGGGAGAGAGCAGGACACTGGGAAAGATCATGGCTCCCAGAGACAGAGGAGGAATTACTAGAGAGAGAGAAGTAAGGAGACAGAGAACAGTACTGACAAAGATAGAGAGAGACAGGGGAAGGATGAAGGAACAGAGAAGATTGTGCTCAGATAA